TGACGATTAGACACAAGGCATTCATAGACGCCGTCCAATTCTCATTTTTTTCAGTATCTATCTAATTGTATAGGGCCCATGATTAATTAGTGAAAAGACTTCAGTTTCTATTGTCTCGCATGCCCTACTTTAACCCATCAGTAATATTAACATAGCCGATCCCAGCCGAAATCCAATGGAAAATCAAAATATAGTATTATGCAGCATCGGTTTTTTTCTTGTTCACGTTCAGAATTTGCATTTGGTATGAATGCGGGGACAAAATCCCCATAACTATCATTTTTATGCATTACTTCGGGCTATTTCAACCAGCTCCGGCCCACTATATCTCCAGGAATTTACAGTCAACTGAAATTATTTTGAATTTTTGCCAGCTACGGAGCCCGGGACTGATAATCTTCAAAGTCTGATGAACGAACGGTTTAGGGATGACATCCAGCTGATTTTCATCTATATACAATTACCTTTTCTTGCATTGTGGCATTGCTGCCTTTTAGTCTTACTCTTTTCGCTCTCTAAGTAAAAGCGGTCGAAGGCCTCAATATTAAGCACCTACTAATCTTCAGCTATATCGAATCACGGTGAGAGCCGGAGGATGTGAGTATGGCCTGAGGGATATGTTTGAAGGGTAAATTGTTGGCTTATATATTGATTAGATTAACAGTTACATATAGTGAATCCTATTTTCTGTCAGCATGCTACCTCGAATAATTATTTTTCGGAATAAAACCGGTAGTTAATAGGAGTATGATCAGTAAATTAAAGATCGCTGATCGTCGTAAACCAAAATTCAGTTGGTGTGTAACTTATAAAGAGGCATATAGTATCTCACAGAGAAAGCTTACGAACAGACATAAGCTGTGAAGTGTTTTATTTCTTCGTTTTTGTTACTTCCTGCTTACAGACACTCGACTCCTCAACCTGTTCATTACAAACTTCTACTATGCAAATAAGTGACGGGATTTCTAAAAATTTGCTGTTTCTAACTTTAAAAGACAAAACATTCCCAGATCTGTTTATCCTCTATATGTGAACCGTCATGTGTGTGTAGAAATATAATTTTTCTAGAAAAGAGGATGATTCCAGATGTAGACGTAATTTCCAGGAAATTGAAAAAATTCTAGTAGGACGTGTCATACACCTCCAAAGACCAAAATATTCTTATATTTCGCCTGGCTGTGGTTAATCTGAAGCTTGTTGCATGTTGTTTTTTCATCTTGACCAGCCCAATCAAATGCATTCCTTTCTGGAGTAAATACTATATGTTAAGTTTTTTAGGGGCTTGAAGTGTACCCCAGGTTTTAAATTATAGTTCCGTAATAAGTCACACGACGGGCACAACTTGCACATGACTAGCATTATGAAGTTAAATTAAATGAATTAGGATACACTTGTGGTCAAATTTCTATCAGCGTCACCACAAAACCAGGCACTCATTCGTCCACCTAGCCCACAATCCCAGAAGG